TGTATTTTACAAAACAACAATATATACAGTATATTAATAGTTTAATATTATAGTTATTAATGATGAAATAGTAAATTTTTTATAAAATATATATATATATATATATAATTTATATAATAAAACATTAGCTTTCCATTTTCCATTAAATCATTAAACTATTATATATATGTTTTTTTATTGTCAAATAAATTGTTGAAATCTAATACACCGATAAATATTTTTTTCTTTATGTGTGTGTATTTTTATGCTTACAAAAGCAAAATTTGTTTTTTAGTTATATTTTTTTCAATTTTTATAGTTTTTCAATAAACCTTTTATATAAATTTATATATATATAACACAAAATCATTTTTATTAGAATATATATATATATATATATATATATATATATATATATATTATATGATATAAGATAAAGCATTTAAAACAATAATGTATTTAATACATAATCTATTACTTATATAATACTGTACAATATTTTATAGTTGCTTAATAGCATAAAATTTCTATATTTAATAATAGACTTTAGGAAATAATTTTTTTTATAGATTTTTAATAATAATAATAGATTCATAATAACTATTATAGACAATATATTATAATATTTTTTTTTTAAATACATGATTTGTAAAAATAAAAATTCAATCAATAATTATTGCAAAAATAATAATTATTAGTATTCATCAATAATATACAGTAAAAAATCAATTAATTAATTAACTTATATAAATTAATTTAGTTAAAAATCGACATAATTATCAAATTATTGTAAGTGTATTTACTCATAATTTATAAGTTGTCAATACAGTATTATATTTCAATAACAGCAATAATAATAATTTTTTTTAAAATTCATAATTAATGATATTATATTTAATAATAATAAAATAAAATCCTTTTTTTTAATAAAATATTATGTTTCAATAACGACAAATTACATAAATAACTTATTATAAAGTTTGTAATTCATATAAAGTTATATATATATATATATATATATATATATATATATATATATATATAGCGTATATTTGTTAACAACAATATGTTTTTTGTTTTATTTATTTAATTTATTAATATTTTTGTTGTTGTTTCATATTTTCGAAATATATAAAAAAATAAACTAAAAAATAAATTATAGTTTCATAATAACATATGGACACACTATTGTGTGTTAATATGAAAAATTGATATCAAAAATGTCATCAATTTTTATTATTAAGTGTTGTCACCAAACAGTGTATATAACTAACTTATACTGTAGTAATAGTAGTACTGTATTATAGTTGTTATTATTAATTTTTATTATTAGTATTGTTTTATTTGTTTTAGTCGTCGTCTACATGATTGATATTGTTGGACCCGAAACAACAACAAAACTAATATTATTAAAAAATAGTTGACTTAAAAAAACAAATACGACAAACAAAAAAATAACAAACTAACAAAAAAAAGTTTCATTATTTATTTAAATAATATTAATATATTGTATATACTATTGAATAAAAAATAAAAATAAATATTAAACACAAATATTAATATATACCATATTGTTTGCCATATAAGTCGTTTAAAAAATAAATAACTTTATTATTAATTAACAACACCTATGCCTGCAATTGATTTAATTTATTTTATTGATTTATATTTTTTTTAATGTTTACCTATATTAATATAAAAAATACTTATATGTTATAAAACATTTTTTTTAAATGTTATAATGTACAAAAATTATGGTTAATGCCATAAACGTGTCAACAGCATATTAATTTTATATATTAATAATATCACATATACAGATCTTACCAATTGCTTTAGGTATTGGCAAAAGTATAAAGTGTTCGATATATTTTTCTATATCATATTATTCACCAACTATTCAATAGCATATGTTATGAATTTTATCAAATTATCATTAATAGTTTCAAAGTTATCAGACACTTTATCAAATATGTGAAATTTTATCTTTAAAGATCAATATTTTGAATTCCTGTGGTAAGTCTGACTCATAAAATGAACATATGCTTCTTCAACTATTACTCTTTTATTCGTAAGTTTTTCGGAATTATTTTCTTAGAGATTAAAATTTAATCGACATTTTTTCAAAGTCACCTCAATTGACAAACCAAAAATTATTAGGTACAAATTGACAAAATTGCTTTTGTACAGCTAATTCTATAAAATATTTTTATAACTGTTATGTGCGTAAAAAGCCTGACTATTACTCCTACTCATGACATATACTAATTTAATTTATGATCAGCAGTTGTTTCCTGAATGAATCGTCTTTACAAGTGGTCATTAATGATATTTGGTCAACTTTTAAGCTTTATTGTTTTTTTCTGAATTAATTTATATTTAAACTGATACTGGTATAAAAAACTTTATTATCTTTTGAGTTAACTTTGATAAGTTTAAGAAACAATATTTGTTTTTTTTGTTTATAATTTTAAGAAAAAATAACGTCCCAAAATTTTGCATATTTAGTATACAAAATATTCAACGACAAGACCTTTTTTAATTACAATAACTTTGAAACTATTAATGATAATTTGATAAAATTCATAACATATGTTATTGAATAGTTGGTTAATAATACAATATAAAAAAATAAATCAAATTCTTTATACTTTTGCCAATACCTAAAGCATTTAGTAAGATCTGTAATAATATCAGATTATTTTAACAAGGTAGTTATTACTATATTAGGATATCTATGCATATACAGTATATACTGTATATTAAAAAAATCAAAATACAAAAAAAACATAACATTAATTTAATATATAAAAATATGTTATATACTATTATATCATATACCGGTATTATAATATTAATCTAAATTTTATAATACTTTTTTCTATATATAAATTTATTTATTTTGTTTATTATTTAAACCCAATTATTTTTCTTGTACTGTATCTGTTATTAATAATAATATTAAAGTTAGTAATAAATTTGCAGAATATAACTAAATATATTAACAATTGTTTTTGTTTAATAATATTTATAAATTAATATGTTAGTGTTATAAATATAAAAAAATGTAACAATTATTAAGTTAAACAATATATTTTTATATATAATATAAATATAAAGGTTTTATATATTTAATATATATAACATTTGTGACATAAATTTTCATTTATAATTAGTATATTTTTATATATAAAAGAAATATTTGGGTAAATTTAGTGTAAATTTCAGGCAATAAATATATATATATATAACAGTCAAAACAAAATTATGGCTTCAAATATAATTATATTTGTAATGTTTTTATTATTATAAAACAACATGTTTTTATTTTTTATTATTATTTATTATTATTAATATTTATCAATTAATCAATTGTTTTTTGTTTCAAATTACTAAGTGTTTGTATATAAAAATAGATTTGAATACATAGTATTAAGTTATATAATACTTTATTTTATATATATATACAGTACAAACATTTAATTATTTGAACTAAAACATAAATACTCTAACTATTACTTTAACTAATAAATCAAATGATTTAATTTAGTGGAAAAAAATAAATTATCTAAAATAACTGTGTATTTTTTGTTTTGTCTTTTAATTGTTGTTTATTATTATTATTATTAAAGTTAAGGTATTAATTAAAGGTTAGAAAATTTGTTTATATATATAATATATAAATATATTTATATGAAACAGAAGTTCAATTATTTTTGCGATAAAAACTTTTTTTCAAAATACAAAAAATAAATGAAATAAAAACTGTTATCTAATCGCATAATATTTGGTATTTTTTACTTAAAATTTTTCACCAAAAATAGATAGCAATTATAAGAAAATAAATGTAGTTTTTTTTTGAGTATAAATTTATGTAAAAATCATGACAATCTATTGGAGATTACAATTATGTTTATATAGTTATAATTAATTTAAATTTTTTTATGTTTATTATTTTTATTTAATAGTATTATTATTAGTAATAGTATTTTGTTGAGAAATAAGACATTAAAAATGTCAATTAAATTGTAAATAATAAATACCAAAAAAATAATAATAATAAGTATTAAATCTTTTTTATCCATTCAAACAATATTATTGAAATCAAAATTAAGTTTTACAAAAAAAAACATTTCTATTACTGTCTAATAAAAATTTTTAAAAAACTATCCAATCATTTGTTATAAATTATTTAAAGGTTATTGCAATTAATGATTGAAGTCGTCGATACACAAAAACAATAAATAAATAATAATAAAAATTAAATAATAATAAAATAAAATCAATTTTCCAAAAAAAAATTGTTTGAAACCTCTTTGGGGTAAAAACTAATGATTACGGATTCATATCATATGTGTATTATAATATAGTATGTGTTTTTTATGATCATCATTAAGTCAAAAAAGTTTCATCAATTTTATTACAATTAATTGAATAGTCAAATTTGAATATATATATATATATATATATATATATATATATATGTTTGGGCAAAATGAAATATCGTTTAATTTTATGTAATGTATGTAATAGTAATAAAAACAAACAACAATTTTTGTTTTTAACATAACAAACAATAATTATTGATTTACAACTCAATTTTGAAAATAAAAACTATTATTGCAATCGTATAAATATAATGCTTAAATTTGTTTGAATTGTTAAATTTGTACACACATATATATATATATATATATATATATATATATATATATCATATTTAGTGTTTTTAAATAAAAGCTAATTATATATCACGATAGTTCAAACTTATAGTTATAATGAAATACTTTTTTTCATTATATTAAATATTTATGTGTGTTGTAAGCAATAAATATAATGACTATTTTTCAATGTGTCAATAATTGTGGCATTTAATTGATTGAAGTTAAAAAAAAACATTTAATATTAAACTTTTATATATCAAAATGTTGTTAACATGGAAAATATATTGTAGTGTACAGTATATATATATACAGTATATAGGGGACAGTTATTATTATTTAAGTTAAAGTGTACATTACCTAAATAGATGATTGATTGGACCAACAAATAGACTGTCAGTGCCATTGATGATGACATGATGTTACTGTCCATTCAATATACAGTTTATATACAGTATATACAGTTTATTGTTGTTTGAGACCCGATGTTTGACTGATTACAGTTACAATAGCAATATAAATGTTGTTTTTTTATCTATTGATATATTTATTTATCAGTAAAGTTGATGTCCAAATGTTTATATATATATATATATATATATTTTGGTATTTATTGTCTTCAATTGGGACTTAAAGTTATTATTTACACTTGTTTTTGCAGACACACTACTACTATAGTACTACTGTATTATATAATAATAATAATATTGAATGCAAACACACAAACATATATGATATATAAAAAAAAGTTTGATTTTTTGAGTTAAACTTTTATTTTTGTTGTATTTATTTCACTGACAAATAACTGTCATATTTTTTTGGGAGAAAAAAGTTTGAGTTTTTTTTTAAAAAAAAGTTTAGTTTATGTTTTTTTTCGCTGATATGACAAACAATTATTCAAACATTTATGAGATGATAATCCATCAAATTGTTTGTGTTTTGTAGTCACACATATGTATCACTAAACAAAAAAAAACATTTAGTGACTTAAAAACATAATACAATACAAACCATTTATAAATTAGTCGATTAATATTAATTGAATGTTTTTTTAGTTATTTTTATTTAAAAAAAAAGTTTTTCCTCAAAATACCCACAAAAAACACAATATTATTATTATTATTATACAACTAATTGATGCAACAAAAAAAATCTATTATTAATGTTAAGTTTGACAACAAATAAAAAGTTTTCCAACTTTTTTTTGACAATATATATGCAAACAAACAGTTAATTACCGATTAATTTATTATTGAAAATACATGTTTTAGTGTCTTCTCTATCGGAAATACATTGATTGAACGGATATTATCGTACATTGTATGCAATGGACACACCGTTTTTTTGTTGGTTGTTTTGCATATACCCTCTAACCCAACAAATAAAACACATACACAAACGCAAAGCTTTATTTTGTGAGCTTTTATACAGTATTATTATTATATATATATATGAGACATATAAAGCTTACGATCCAATCGGTTTGGATGCTTAGCACCAACTGTTAAGGCTGTTAACCATTGCATACATTTGACAAACACACACACATTAGGGGCTAACCAACTCATACGCTCTACCGGTGCTCTCTCACTAACACAAACACTATCTAATGAAAAGTCAAATTTTATTTATTATAGAGTCGACATCTGAATGGTATTAATACCAATATTATCAGTCATCCACTTAAATACATAAATTTATATTAAATACCGGTAACTAAACAATAATTATGTAAAAATTAATGTATTAGTTTAAAGGCAACCAACAGTTATAGATAAACAATAAAAATGTTATTTGTATTATTATTATTTTTTATAAATAATTAAATAGACAAATTATTTGATAAAAATTAATATATATATATATATTATTATATAAATTAAATTATTGAATGATTATAATTGTAGTTAAAAATATACAATAAATTAAACAATAGTACAATTTTAGATTTAAATAAATATATTATTATCCATTAAATATCATAAAAATAAAATGATTGAAATATTTTTTATAATAAATTAAATTAAACTAGGTAATACCGTAATAAATATTAATTATTGAAACTATTTGATATATAAATTAATTTAATCTATTCTAAATTACATTACAATTCAATAATCAAAAAAAAATATTACAGTATTATCATCACTAATAGGGTAGTAAATTTCAACCATTATTACGGTAGTACCGTAACTAACGGTACAAATATCACGGAATTTATTATTTATATTTTTTATGCAAAAATATTGCTATTTTCTTGAAGACAATGACATCCACAACCGGATGGACATTCATCCGACTGAGTAAACCAGTTGTACATATGAACAGTGTGTCCGCCGTGACCGCAGCGGACACAGTGATTGACAGCGCCGCGCACTGGCATACGACATATCACACACTTTAGTGTCGGCTGTCGACAGTGACTACAATACGGCGCCCGTGAAGTTGTATACTGTTTTTCGCACACAGGGTTCTGGCATTCGGTAACAAAGTCGACACCCGACGGAAACAGTTGACTCTGGTTGATGTTTGTACAGCTTTTCAATATCAGTGCCCGTTTGTCCATCAATTGCCACCGATAGAGTATATCGGCATAGATTTGTTTATAGCAGTCAAACTGGAACTGGAGTTTCGGCTCTAACATCCTGACAACAAACAAACAAACATTTTTATACCATATTTTATAGATAATTATCTTATTTTTTATATTAAAAAAATAAACACAAACTTGTTGTTAGTTTCATGTGTTTCCAGTTCTAACTGTTCGGACAGATTATCGGACCGATTGTTGATGAGACCAGCTATTAATGCTTCGTTTTCGGCAAAATCTGACCAACTGTTCGATCGGGTCCTCTTCAGACTCTCCATCGCTGAAACTAATTGATGTAAAAAAATTTAAATAATTAATTCATCGTTTGTTTGTTCACTAATCACAATTAGTGTACACAAAAAAAATATTTATTTACTGAGATTCCAGTCGCCATAGGTTTCGGGTGTATTGGGCGTCACTATTGCCGAGCCAACCGTATGATAGGGAGAGTTACCAGGCTATACAATATTAACCAAATATTAAAATATTACCGATAAATATAGATTAAATATTATTATTTTTTTTGTTAAGTAAATGAATTATATTTAAACAAACAAAAACATGCAAAACAAACAAAGCAAACAAAAATAATGGTTTTTTGAAAGTGAGTGAAAAATATTTTAAATTATAATAATTTCCATAAAAACAAAACATGTTTTTAACATCCATTAATTTTTTTTAAATTATCTAATTTTAATAAACAAAACAATTACCGATGACTGCAAACAATTGTTCCATAACTTGAGTAATCTTAAAGATATTGATAACTGCAAAAAGTATAGATATAAATATATATAGAGATAGAAGACATTCATATAAAAAAAAATATCGGGTGTTTTCAATGGACAAACATTTTTGGGACAAAAACAAAACAAAAACAAAATAAATAATAAATATTGCTTATAATTATGATATATTATTATATATCGGACCGAATTATTGCCGCTTCCCGATTGTGATGTCTTTTGGACAAACTTTGGTTTCGTTTCGTTCATATGGAAAGTCGAGGCCAACATCGCCGCCGTCTGTATATCATTACATTTGAGCACTGAGTGCTCTATACTGTTAAACACACATAAAATAAAAAATTATAATTTGAAATTTACAGATAATTTCGATAGAAATATAATTGACATTAAAATAATTTTGTAATAATTATTGAAAACATACAGTGATTGTATCATCTTTTTGCCGAATGGATGCAAAGCCCAGGGAGTCTCCATCAGGTTTCCATTGTTCGCACTCTTGATGTATATATCGGCACTCAATTTGACTAAATTCCAGGTCTGGCACAGATCTCGACGTCCGAAAGTGTTGGCAACTCTAGCATTGATTTCGCACATCGATATTATATCGCGATTTATGGGAAATACATAGTTTTCAGCCAAATTTCGGCTAATAGGCAACAGGCCGGCCACTGAAAATATGAATACCGGTCCGCAACTGTTGCTCCGGTGTCGCGGCGATGCACTGTTCCGATAGTCTCCGGACGAATTCCGTTTAATTTTATTGTTTCGCATTGCGTGGCGTTTAGAGGCATCGAAATAAAACGATGATATCGAATGCTCGATCACATCCACATCCTTGTTGTTGTGCGGGGCCGCCGATCGATAATGAGTGGACAGATAGGCGTCCAAATCACTCAATGAACGTGGTGTGTGATCGATGGGTGCATTGATTTGGTCCAAATGTGGTGGTCGTCCAAAACAAACTAACAACTGTTGAACAATAATTTAAATGATACGAAAAAAATTAGTTAACGAGTTAATCAATTGGTAAACATAAAAAATTTGATTGAAAATCTGGTGGCCGCTGACCTCTCCCGAACAGAATCGGGCACCGGATGTCCTCGGAAACGGTACGTGAGAGTCCAGATAACTTCCGTAGTGATGGCTTGGCGACAATGGAGGACAGGTTAACAATGATGATGAATGGGTGGCAGACATTATGGATGTGGAAGAGGTGCCGGTAAGCCGTTCGAGTGTTGCAATGAACTGTCGCAGACACGGCTCAAGACACGTGCGGTTGCGTTTCACTTGAAAGACGGCAGTCATGTGTAAGACTTTCAATAGCTCTTTCTTAATATCGTCGGACGGTGTGGTCGAACCGTTCAGAAATGTAAAATGAGGCGTAACGTGATTGGGATAACCGGACGGGAATGTCATCTTAAGGCGACATGTGATCGATGTGGTAGCGGTTATAATGCAAACTCTTTTACTGGCATTCAGTTCTTCGATTTGTACATTCGGTATATTGATGTTAATCAATGAGAATTCTTGTGTCAAACTGGGAACCGTTGATCCGCCGCTGGACGTCGTTGTCATCGTTGCTGATGATGTCGTTGTCAACATTAGCGAACGTTTTGTCATCAGATCACTACTACTGTGAGACATTAGGCCACTGGTGTTTCTCAACAGATGACGATTCGGTGATCTACTAATATCGATACTAAGCGGACGTTTGTTTGTCGAACTCGAACCGTCGGAACCGTCAGCCGAACCGGTCGAACTGTGATTGTCGTTGGGATCGTCGATGTTCAGGTCAAACGAAGTACTATACAGTTCGTCATTATGACGAGCCATAAGCTCGGAGTCGACTTTCCATATGCGCAGACTGTTGTCCTTAGACCAGGTTATCAATTCGTATTCGTTGCCATTATTTTTGTTATGCCAACCAAAGTCAAGTACGACATCCAAATGGCCGACAAACGAGTGCATCGGTTGATCGAAACAGTTCATCGACCACATCCATAGCGAGTTATATTCGCTGCTTCGGCGCAATTGCGGTACCAGAGCGGTCACTATTCCGTTACCGAATGGCTAAACAAAAGATAAATAAATTATTAACAATTCGGATGAAGACTAGTAGTTAAAAAAACCCTACCGTAAACCTGGCCCTCCATACGGGCAGACCGGCCGGTAAAATGGCATCGGGTTTACTCTTAGATGTTGTCAAATCCCAAAACTAATTATTTATATCAAATAATATGTTTATTTTAGATATTTATTATCTAAAACTATTTGTATTTAAGTCATACCCGAACCGAACCGTCCTGACTACAGGTGGCAAACTGTGAGGCAATAGTAGGACTCCAATCCAGGCCATTAATTTTGGACAAATGAGCCGTAATATAGTGCAACGGCGTATTACACTTGCGCCGGTCCCAAACCCGTACGTCTCCTTCGTGACTGGTGGCCAACAAATGTTCGTTTAGTTTTGACCACTTGACCTGGGTAGCGCCGGCCACCGAACTCATCGACAACTGCGGCTTACGATAGTCGCGAATGTCCCAAACGTATACATAATTGTCGTACGAAGCCGTGGCCAATAGATTAGTGTCGTTGTACGACCAGTTAAGATCGGTAACAGTTCGGGTGTGTCCGCGCAATGTTACCAACTGTAGCTCTTTGACAACAGTATAGCTGCCGCCGCTGCCATTGCTAGAGTCCATCGCCGATAACATGCCTGAAGACGCTATGATAAAAAAAAGTACGAAATATTTAATTTTCGGTAATTTTTTTTTTTGGTGGACAACTAATTATCAAAATTAAAATATAAATTATTATTATTATTATAATTATTAACTGTTTTTGATGTTGGCCTCAATATTATAGACCTGTACGGTCTGCGCATTGGTAATGGCCATCAGATTGGTGTCCAGCGGATTGAATTCGCTGGCCGTTGAGTCCCATTTGGTTTCGCGTCTAATACGGAAGTCGACCACTTCGGGTTGATTACAGTTGATCAACGATATTGTCCGGCGGGAAGACAAAGCACAGCGGCCATCGCCGCTTACGGCCAAACATACAGCCTATTGATTGATTGACAACACATATAGTTTAGTCTACTATTTCTAGTTAGTGACCGCTCGGCGGCTCTTACCTGAAGTTCCTTGTGTTCGGCGATTAGCTGAGATGTTGACCATCGGGTGGCCATTACTGCGCCGGCAGCGGCTGACGGTTAATAAGAAGACTCGACAGTATCACAGGTGATCGTTGGTTATATATAGTAGTGGTTTAGCATAGATATTGCCGAATCACCCGAAACTGATACCCGAATCGGTGGACAATCGGTTGAGTCGATGACAACAACAACAACAGTCTCGCTGTCATTGAATACATTCAATGCATTGATTGACACAACAGTTGACAATCAAAACATTGTATTTCAATGTCATTCACATTAATAACGTTTTGTTATTGTTATGTATTTTCTGTCAAAAAAAAGTTTTATTTTATTTTAAATAAACAAACAAAAAGTTTTTATTTATTTAAATAACTTTTGATTTTATTGTTTTTTTGTGTGAATAATAATTAACTATTAAATTATTTATATATGATTTATTGTTTTATTACTTATTAATTTACATTTTTTTCAGTTGATATTAATATATAATTTTTTATTACTTTTAAAAAATATATATTTTAGTAATTAAATTGTTATATAAAATTTTACTTATATAGATATAATACAGTAATTATTTAATATTAATTTATAGTATTATAACTTTTATAGTGTTGTAAATTATTGTAGTAATTATAATAAAAATAATAATAATAATTACAAAATAACTTATAAATTAAGTATTATATATACTTTTAGTATATTTATATAATAATTATTGTAACAAAAAAAGTATTAAAATATTAATTAAAAATATTTTATAATAAAAGTAATAAAGTAAATATATAAAATATTTTATTTTAAAACAATGTTTATAATTTTATAAGCATTTATAATTAATTGCTTAATTATTTATATATATATATATTTCTATTTAATTAAAAAAAAATTAAAATACATTATATAATATTAATTATTTGTTTTGATCAAGACTAATTGATCATGATAAATTAGCCGTCAAATATATTAGACAAGATTAACATTACCGAAATTTTCACGATATCTGCGGCACCAGACGGCCAGCCATTTAATATCGTTGAGTGTCTTACCCGACGGTAACTTCAAGACAATGTCTGCATCCGTATAGCCTTTCAATGGTTTTCGCAAACCGTTTTCGTCGGGTATTATAAATCCTGTTGTGTCCGGTTTGTCGCTATTGCCGGCCCAGAAATAGGCATCGGGTGCCGCCCCGTCATAGTATAAGTGTTTGATACGAACCGTACGCAACTCCCTGTCGGACAGATCGGCAAATACTTGGCCACTCAGACCGTGAGCATAGGTCGGCAACGAACCCAACGATTGGTAAACATTATTGTCGACTTCTTCGTCATCACCTTCTCGTTGGCCATTATTACCGATAATAATCGCCGAACAAATAGTTAAGACTATTAAAAGTTTTAACGCCATTTAGTAGAGTATTATTATTATTATTATTAGTGAAAGTTTTGATAATATCTAAAAACAAACTATTAATTTCTTAATAAATAATAAATGTTTTAAACAAGTTTTCAATAAAAAGAAAAATTCAGTTTTTTTTTCAAATTTATAGTTAATTTTTATAATACACTTGTGATTGATATGTGAAACTTCATTGACACCAATAGATTTTCAGTTGTTATGTGTTAAGTGTGTGTTAATGAAAAAAAATACAAAAAGTTTGTTTTCAATCATCAATTTTTATTTATTTGTTATTTAAGTATTTTATTGTATTTAAAAAATAAATAAAAATTAATTGAATTGATGATAAAATAGCCACAAAAAAATGATATATGATATGTGAAAAATAATTTCGTATTATATTATTTATATACTGTAGTATAATGTAACTATTATATAATGTATACGTAACTATTGTATAATAAAATTAATGTTAAATATAAATTTTATTGTTAAGCAACAACAATTATAAATAACAAATTATTATATAAAATATTGATAGTACAGTAAATGCAAATAATAAATTTAAATACAATGTAAATATAATAAAATTAAAAAAAATTAATACAAATTTAATATCATGTTAGGTATGTGTAAAATGTCTTATTAAAAAATAAATAATAGAGATTTGTTATATAATATCAAATTATCATTAATTATTATGATATTATATATGCTTAACAGTCAATTCAATTATAAATACTATAAATTTACATACAAAAAAAATCATATATATTTATATAACTTAACTGGATAATTATTGCATAAATAATATTAATCAGGGTTATAGGGGTAGTAGGGGGGTTATAGCTGACTTACCCTTCCCCAGAGACCAAAATTTTTGTCACCCCCTCCCAGATTTTTTTTGCCAAAATAAAATTAACTAAAATTTAGAAAAAAAACATAATTTATATTTAATACAATATATAACTTATTATATCAATTGTAATATTTAACAGTTTTAATAGTTAAAAATGAGATAAAACAAAAAAAAAATTTTTTTAAATTTATTTGATCATAATAAGATTTTATTCTAGATGTTAAATAATTTTATTATAACAAATAGATATAATTATAATCTATGGTTTTTAAAGTTTTAGTATTTAAAAAGATATGTTTTCAACAACAAAAAAATTATTTAAAAATTTATTAATTCTGCCTATACTCTAGTTTATTAATAATAATATTAATTAATTAAAAATTAATTGTATTTATGCATGTATTTAGTATTTATAATAAATAAATAAATATTTATTTTGAAAGTTATAATCTTATAACTTATAATACCATTTAGTTTTTAAAAATATGCGCCAAATTAACAGCCAATCAGCAATCGACTTGACTATCAATACAATAGTTTTGTCAAACTATTAGCCAATAGTTAACAGTAGTTATTATAAAATACAACCAAAAAAAAAACATTTGACACATAAATGTGTAATATATTGTATAACACGTTAAGTTCAAAATCAATACACAAATAAAAATTTACACAATTATTGTCCACAAAATTGTCGACTAAACTAACAAATGAGTGGACAAATCATTACCAATTGATCACCAAATTGGTCATCCGATTCAACAATTGATTGATTGATTGATTTGTTTTTAAATACCACAACAACAACAACAACACCAACGATATGATGATAGATTCAAACGACATAGAAATCCAGGACGTATTGGCTGCCGATGTCGAAGAAGTGGTCGACTATGAAGAAGTGGATGAACCGGAACTACCCGTTAATATCCAGTCGTGTCTACTGTTGAACAATGTCTACATTGAATCCATTGATGAACTAAAACAATATCTTCAGTCGAAACGCCGTGAAAACGATAGCCGACAGCTTGAACTACAAAACAATAGTCACCTGAAGACTGTTAAGGACGTGACAATCAATAACTATGGTTATAGTCATCCGAATTCGTTGATACCGTTTATGTCGCCTTATTTTAAGGACGTTAAAGGACTGTCGGCGCCGGCAAATGCCGATACATTGGAAAAGCGTAGCAATGGTCACATCAACGAAGCCTATGTCTGTCAGAATAAGCCGTGGAATGTTGTCGAACGACAGAAACTGAAGACAATGCTTATGATGGACGCAATGGAAAGGGCTTACAAACCGCTCAGAGATGAAAAAGAATTGCTGACCAGAAATAAGGCCGATATTGTTAAGAATTTGCCGCGAATTACTGAGTTGACCGGTTTGATTGATAACATGTCCAACGATAAGAACATACCGATTCCCGATCGATGGGATCCGTCGCTTGATTGGCTTCGATTTGCTACCGAACTGGACACCGATCATACGGCTGACGATTGCGAACTCTATTGGAATAATTTTCTTCATCCGTTGGTGAGTAAGACTGAATGGACTAAAGATGAAGACAACCGATTGGAAAAGTTGGTCAAAAAGTATGGTATGCGTGACTGGGATCGAGTTTCACAGGAGTTGAACACTGGACGACTAGCCTGGCAGTGCTGTCAACGATATCAGTCGGAACTGAATCGCGATCTCAAACGTGTCGGACCGTTGACCAAAGCCGAGGCCGAAACTGTCGAGAAAGTGATCGATTCGTGTCGTGTCGGCGATTACATACCCTGGCATCAGGTGAAGTATTTTATCGAAGGTCGCACTTTGCCGCAGATCAAGCACTACTGGAATAAGATAAATGTTGTCAAACGTGGCGACCAGTGGTCCGATGACGAGAATAAGGTACTGATGGCGGCCGTCAAAAAGTACGGTACACACAACTGGCGCAAAGTGGCCCAATACATACCGGGCCGCAGTAATCGACAGTGTCGGGAACGATATATGATGCGCCTTAACTTTGGCACCGATCGTAAATTAGGTAATTGGATGCCACAGGAGGACAAACTGATACTGGATTTGGCTCCGAAATGTGACTTTCATTGGATTAAACTCGAAAACAAGATTAAGGGCCGCAATGCTCGGCAAATTGCCAGCCGTTACGAACTGTTAATGAAGTATAACAATGTTGGCAAAGATGTGCGCAAAACAAAGTCCAAATTTGGCAACAAATCGACATTTGCTACGAAAACGTTGACCGTTCGGAACCGTTTGTACGAAAAGATACGTCATATGATTAATCGCCAGCAGAACAGCGGCAACGATAACTTGGACCGCATTTTACGTGTCGGCAAAGCCAAGTTGGCCAAGAAGTTGGAACTGGAAAAGTCTGGCGTTTCGGTAACAACTCGTTCGGGACGACCGAAAAAGACGGTTAATGAAGAGAATATCGACGCCAAGATTACCCAACTGTTCGCAGCCTATGATCACAAGTCTAGTCCGAAAAAGTGTGTTTGTAAGTGAAATCTATCGGTAATTATGTTTTTGTGATTTAATTATTATTTGTTGTGTGTCTAACAGCCCTTTCACCGCAAGACCAATGTGTCTATTCGACCACCAAAAACGTGTTCAACGAGTTGATTACGGGAACGCCGTTCGAGTCGACCACCGAATTGGCCGAAACTATTCGTCTGGTTGTTAACGAATTGGTCACTGGATTTCCCAAAAATGAAATCAATGCCAATAGTGAAAGTAATTTATCAGTAGATGCTTCGGGTAATAAAATTATGACTGTTATCGGAGTGCCAAACTCGGAGTCACAAATGATGAACAATTCGGGCGACTCTGAAATTATAACTACCTGTGATATTACTGATGCAGACATGACTACCTCTAGACGACACGAATGGACGGCACCACCGATACTACCGCCCAATAAGGCCACTGTTAAGGCACTTCGGGGACTACTTATACATTCAGATTATTTTTCGCAAATTATTGCCAGATCTGAGGTAATAATTGTTTAATTAATTTTTGGTTTTTTTTTAATTATACAGTAATTGTTTGATTGATTATATATGTTTGACATTATTTTTTATTAGATACCATTAGAACAATTCAAGGAAGTGCTCGATAGTGATCCAACATATAGAAAACTATTTGCCGAATTCAAGTCATTATTCTATTGGCCGGCACTGTTGTCGATGTCGGATCCGCCCGAACGAAGCAACCGATCCAATGATCAATCGGAGGAGTCAGTGAACGGTCAACGGCCGGCTATCAAAGGTCGCAATCGTAAGTCGTGGCTCAAAAACAGTCAGTCGCGGTCACGTATGATCGAGATTCGCACCAATCAAACAAAACTAATCGATTCGGAAATGAAACGAGTGGCCAATTCGAGAACGGCTAACACTGGTGGCACTGCTGGCGGCAGCGGTAGTGTTAATAATGAACAACAATCGACGGCCGCGGATGACAACAATGAACCGTTGACTGTCGAGTCAACACTGGCGCCCTGGTATGTCACTCGAAAGGATCGCCGCTATTACAATCTAAAGTCACTTAAGAGAGACTCGTTTGTCTTTACACGAGTCCGTCCCAAGTATTCGTCAATTGAGCCGACCGGTGATGGCCATCACAACAACAACAACAACAACATTGATGATTCAGGATCTGAGACCGAAATCGAGACCAACGACTACAGTGAACCGCCGGTTAAAGTCGAATGATTTGCAAAATGATTTGTGGTTTAATTGTCTGATTACAAGTCATTATTTAATAATAAAAAAACAACAATTCAACCAACAAATCAATAATATAATAATTACCGTAAAATGCAAATACGGTATCAATAAATATATATTTCATATACTGTATATATATATATTACGGTACAATATGTACTAATTATATACAGTAAGTCATTCTGTTTAAATATTTGTCCAAATGATTTGTGATACAATTTTTTAAAATGTGATTATTAAGTATTTTTATTGCAATTACTATAAATTTCGTAATACAATTATATATTATTATTATTATTGTCTTTATTATTGATTCATTGAAATTCATATGACATTTTTTTTTTATAATCAAACACACACACACTCATTGACATAACATAATTTAATTTATATATTTAATATATATATAAAGCCGACTGATTATACACACACACATTAACTAACAAAATATGTTAATTAAATGATTGATCTGTTATTTTTTTTATAATGAAAATTATTTCAATCTATACATAATCTATAACTTGATGAGTGATCTAACGAAATTGTATATTTTTAAATGAATAAATTTGTTTTTATATATATATATATAAATTATTTAATATATTATTTAATTGATTTTTTTAATGATGTGTTCAATCAATTGTGTCTATTAATCGATTGTATTGAAAATTATTTTTTGATTTCATTTCTTTATTGTTGAAGATTGTATATATATATATATATAAAGAGGGTGTCGACCAAAAAACACTGTACAATATTATTTAGGTACCGGTAGTAGTAGTAGTGAAGGTGCCGACAACAGTTAGAAAGTGCCGAAAATATGTCTAACCTGTCTCTCTCTCTCTCTCTCTCTCTCTCTCTCTCTCTCTCTCTCTCTCTCGCTTTCTTAGATATTGCTTAGTAATTTCAGGGACTGGTTTTCTTCAAGCTATTCAAGTCTAGTATATGTTTATTAACAAAGTTTGGCTGGTTTTTATTTTTAAAAGAGAGAGAGACACGCATACCTAACCTACCTGTGTGTATGTATTAGCTAACAGTGCATATTTTTTTCATTGCCAATGCAATGCAACTAAAAAAAAAATTATCTGGAAATGATTATTATATACGATATGATGTTCACTTTACTGTGGGAGTGAGTGTGTGAGAGTGACTGGAAGAGAGAGAGAGAGAGAGAGAGAGAGAGAGAGCGAGGAGAGAGAGTTCAAGTTTAAACCAGAAACCAGTCAAACCTGTGGTGTTGTTTGTTACGAGAGAGAGACTGTATGTAATGTAATGAACTAAAAGAGTATATGTTTTTAAGCAGATTTTTGAAAAATGTTTTTGCAAAATAAAATGTATAGAAACTCTATGTATGTATTCCTATGTCTAGTATATATATTCATCAGCAAAAAAAATTATGATTACCTGAGTTGAAGAAACTAAAAAAAATATAATAATAATAATAATAAATAAATTTCATTCTTAATATTATATATATATATATATATATATTAATTAAGTAAATATTACGGTCCAAATAATAATAATATTAATAATAATGACTTAATTTTTTTCGGCTAAATATTTGTTAGTTGATGTGTCAACACTTTGGATTAAAATAAAATAGTCAACTATTAAATGTTTAAATATATTTTTTTTTTAAAATAAAAGACATGGATTATATCAGTGATGATGGTGTAGACGTGTGTGTGTATGTGTGTGTATATATACATATATATGTTATGTAATAATGTTAAATGTATTATGAGTTGAAACCGCTTTTTTGAATTTTAAGAAAAAAAACTTTTGATTTTAATTTTCAATTATCGATAAAAATATACAAATATTTTTTTTAAAAAAAAGTTTATGTATGAGTGACACCCCATTTGCCACACCACCCAAAATGCGGGACATATTATCAACGTTTGTCGACAAACTGTGCGATTTAAATGGTTTGTTATTATTATTATTTATTTGTTTATTAAATATACTTTTAAATATATATATATATATATATATATATATATATATATATATATATATATATATATATATATATTACTTTTATTTTGTTTTAATAATTAATATTTTTATAAATATTATAATAATATGTTTTCAATGCCAATGCCACATGTTACTGTATTATTATTAAATAATATAAACTATTCGATAAACTTTCCGGGAAAGTTTTTTTTCTCTCTCTTTCTCTCAACTTAACATTATATAATACCTATAGTAATAGTAGTATTATACTACTATGATATAGTATACAAGTTATTAGCTTTTAGGGTGTATTAGCAATATTTTATTTTTATATATTTTAACTGAACTTATTATAATAATTAACAAAAGTCTCTTTTTTCACTAAAAAATATTTGTATCGAACTTTTAGTATAATAATAATAATAATAATAATAAATTGGTAGATATTTTTAAAAAATTACATTATAATAATAGCGAAAAATATTTATTATTTTTTTTAGTTAGTTAATAATATATAAGCTTAGGGTAGATAATAGTAGTAATAATGATGATATCCTTTATTACCCTATTGAGTATGTTTACAACATATATGTATACACATACTTGTATATTAAGAGAGAGAGAGAGAGAGAGAGAGAGAGAGAGAGAGAGAGAGAGAGAGAGAGAGAGCACAGGTATTAAATCGGCATCTATACATACGTGTGTGTAAAAATGTGTTTATCCTCGAGTAAAATTTAAGGTTTAATTTAAGCATTTAGCATTAATTTTTATTGAGAAAAAACAACATTAAGTAATTGTCTCGATATACACAATATATATATTTATATAAGTTTATACCGGTATATACAGTGTATATATATATATAAAGTAATAATATATGATTTGGAAAGTTATTTTTCACATGCATTTGATAGGAACTCCCCATTCATGAATCCCTTCCGGGTTTAATCTCATTAATAATGAACTCAATGCTTAAACACCGGTGCATTGGATTTTCATATATGTATATAATATTATTTCATATTTAACTTATTTATATAATAATAATAATAATAATATTATATAAAAGTTGATGCTTTATTAATTATAATTTATATTTATATATAAATTTTATAATATGTGTATATAATTTATAAATATACTGCTGGTATAAATGTATAGTGATATCTGAGAAATAGTCATTTAAATCACTCATCATTTATATTTTAATATATATGTCTTTATTGTATATATTAGTATTATATAATATTTTTAATAATCACTAAAGTTTTGAACAATTTTACTTTTTCTACAGTATATATATATATAATAAATCTATAATTATATGTTGTTTTAAAACAATTAATTTTATCAGACATATTAATTCATATTTGGTAATATAATATAGTAAAAGTTTTTATGTAAAATTGATAGTATTATTATTATTAATGGATATAAATTTTACTATTTTATTATATATATATATATATATATATATATATATATATATATATATATATATATATATATATATATATATATATATATATATTGTACACTTTACTTACTATTTGAAAGTTATTAATAAATTTTGTTAATTTTATACAATCATATTATGTTTTATAATAAAATTAAATATTTAAAAAAATTAATAATGAAAATATTATTGAAATTATATTTCAAAACCAGTATTTTAGTTAAAATTGATTAACAAATTATAATTTTAGTTTTATATTTTAATCAAAATCGTTAAATATGATAATATGAATAAATATTTATTTATTTATAATTATAATTTTAAATTTAACTATTCACATAGTTAATTATTTAATTTTAATAATACAGAATAAAAAAATTAAATTTTATTTTAGTTATAATTAATGAAAAAATCTTTTTTGACTTTTTTTAAAGAAAAAATTGAAGTTTAATTGCAAGTATCATAGATAAATTGCATGGATACTATTTAAATTAATTTTTATATACTATATAAATATATTATAATATACAGGTAGTATATATAATATATATAAAATAATTGTCACTTTCACATAATCAATAATATAGTTGAGTTAATTATTTATAAATTAAGTTTTCATGAAAATAGTTGAATAGATTATCATCACATAAATTAATTGTCAAAAAATTTCTAATGTATTACATTTTGATATCATTTATTATAGTTGTACATACAATTATACAGCTGTATATATATAGAAATATACCGTAAAAAATTAACTAATTTAGCGACAAATAAAAAATTTAGATGAAATAGATTATCATAATTATAAATGTGATATGAATTACCATTAATAGCTTCATGTGATAATTATAGTGTGATTTTAATTGCTTAATAGATTGTCATTTAATTTGTTATTTTCTATAATATTATCAAAACATTTTTATTCAGTTCATATGTGATTATTATTATTATATAATAATGAGAAACAAATTACTGTATTATAAAATATATATCATTTGTTTAGTCAGATTCGTCTCAGTTTTTGTCAACAAGTAGTCGATATAATTATATCAAAATTATAATAATAATAATAATATAAAACTTTGAAAAAACTGAAGTCACGAAAGATAATGAAACAAATAAAATGATAAAAACATTTTTCATTTGCATAGTAAACCTTTACTCTCTCTCTCTCTCTCTCTCTCTCTCTCTCTCTCTCTCTCTCTCTCTCTCTCTCTCTCTCTCTCTCTCTCTCTCTCTCTCTCTCTCTCTCTCTCTCTCTCTCTCTCTCTCTCTCTCTCTCTCTCACCTCACACATACACACACACTGTATATACACGAAATGCTATATATATATATGTAAATTTCTATGTATGAAATTAAATATCTATGTATGTATATTATATTGAATATTAACGATAGTACAGGGTCCGGCATAAATTACGCAACAAACTAAACAGCTATAACTTTTTTATTATAATAGCTATATATAATTTTTAAAATAATATTTATAGTATATAGTCTAGTTTTTTATGAAATAAAATTTTATTTTATTATTAAAGTCAAAAAATATCGGCGCTAAATTATGCAAAATAAACAATATTATTGAAACGTCTTATAAAAATAAAATAAAAAATTTGAATAATTAAAGACAAGTTAAAGCAAAATTTATAAATTATAAAAGTTTTTAAAAATAAAAAATATTTAATTAGAAATGGGAATTTTAAATATTAAAAAATTTAATTTTTGACTTTAAAAATGTTTTTTGTTTACCACATTACAAAATATTCAAATTTAAATCAAATAAGATTTTTAAAAATAATTTTTTTTTATAAATTTAAGGTCATTTTCTAAAAAAATAAAAAAAAATAATTAATTTTTTTTTCAACATAGGCAATACCCTGTAAGTTAAAATAAGCATATAATTTTTGTTTAATTGTAAAATTTGATGAATTTTGTTAAAACACATTAAAAATTTTAATTTTTGGTAATATTGGTCATTCCTTATAATAAGCATTTTTAATAAAATTGATTTTTCGTCAATTGTTTTATTTTTTAGATTTTTAAAAAAGCTCTCAAACAAAACTAGATTATATAAGAAAAATTTGTTATAATGCTATATATTTGTAACTTGTGTAGTTTTTTAGATATAAATTTTTCTAAACTTGCGTAACTTATGCCGGACGGTGTATTAGTAGTAGTAATAATAATACTGTATATTTGCAAATAAGTCACTAAATATGTAAATGATTATCATTTTGCTCTCTCTCTCTCTCTCTCTCTCTCTCTCTCTCTCTCAACTTTAGAGTAATTTATATATTTGTTGTATTAGTTTTGTTTACAAATACTTTTTTTATTAATACAATTTCATAATAAAGACTGTACTCTTAATTGTAATATTACTTTATATACAATACATTATTGTATGTACTGTATGTATGTAATGTATACATGAATATTCAATACATTGAATTAAAAATTCATTTTCAACAAAAACTTAATAATGCAGTAAATAATTTATAAACTAATGATGTGTTTTTTTTATATGTTGTCTGGTAACTAATCATATTATATTAAATATACTATACATGTATATTAATATTTTTCAATAAAAATATGTCTTCATTATTATTAGTAATGTCTATTTTTTTCAACATAAATATTAATATTTTAGTAGTTTTATAGGTTTTGTTATATTATCGTGTGATTGTCATTCATCAACACAGTGTTTGATGATGAGAGACACAAATTTGATTTTAATATTAATATATATATATAAAGTAGTAATATTAATAGTATTATTATTATTATTATTTTGCTAAATTGAAAATAATTTATCAAACAATATGCTATTGATATCAACACAAAAGCTTATTATCTAATTTATAGGTATTAATAAAGTTTAATAGACTAACTAAATGTATTGCTATTTGACAAATTGTTATCAAATTGAAATTTATAAACTGTTGGTAAGTTTAACTTAAAAAAAAGATTAATTAAATTATTATTATTACTAAATATTTGTTTGACACTAAATTTTATTTTTATAGCTTTAAGTTGTTAATAATAAGTTTTTTAATGTCTAGTTTTAATAAAATAATAATTTATAAACTTTAATTGAAAACTTTTAAATTTTTAGTATTATTAATTTAGCTATTCTAACATAATTATATTGATAAATTATTAGTCTATTATATAAGTTTATATTTTATTTAAATACACAAATATTATTATTTTAATGATTAAACTAAACAAAATATAATTTCATATTTAAGTATAATTTTATTCTATAATTATTAATAATTATATTTTATAATAATATATTTATATTAAATATAATTTCATGTATTGAATGCTATATTTAGATTTCTTGTTTATTAAATACAATACATATATATAAAAAATACCAATAAATATGATACTTTTAGTCTTAAAATTAGTCCCAAAAAAATTCAAGTAAATTATGATTATATTGATTTAGAAATCAAATATTTTTCCATATGATTATTATACTCAAAATACTCGATATAT